TTTTAAAATGTGAAAGTACGTTTCTTTCAGTGGAAAAGAGGAAAAAAAATCAAGACAGCCATCCCAAGTCTCACTAATGCAGGTCTTGCTAGTATTGAAAAACACTTGGAACTATTTCCAGTGATCAGAATTCAAATACTTTAAGTCTTCTGCACAGCAAATGAAAATAGTTTTTAATACTGTAGCATATGCACATAAAACATGCATAAATAAATTACTACCAATACTTCCAAAAAGTATGTGACAATGGAATCATTATCATTATCCATAATGGAAGTCACCCCCAATATGTAAAAGAAATTACTTACTGAAATAATGAAAACTCCCCATCTTTTACACAATGAAATGCTAAATAAAATTAGAGATAATATAAATAACAAAAAAGTGTACTTTTATTCACCAATTAAAGGAAATTAATTTAAACACAGTTATCTGGGCAAAAAGGAAACATCTCACACAATGCCATGCAGGAAAAATGTAGGCAAGGGTAAGAGTATTAGGGGTCCCATTGTATATAAGCTGATGTAACTGCAACAAAGATGTTATTAAAAAGCTTGGAAAACTGGCATGATTAATCAACATTTCCAATATTTCGAAAAGGGTATATCCATCAAGCAATAGATTATAGTATCCAAGTTTTACTGACTTTAGGGAATCAATTCATGCTCAGGGGCTTAGTAAAGTTAGGCACCAGGAGACTGATCTATTCCAAAGTTTTATCATTTACAAAATTGTATGGATATGACTAGATTGGTAGCCCTCTACATGACCATACCTAAAGCAACAAGAGTGCTGGAGCCTTTAATAGCCCTCCACATCTACCCTAAAAATACAAGACTCAATGTAGGCAAACCACAATAAGAGCACCAGAGATTTACGCATTGGTCCTTCTATGTACATACTTCCTATTGCCAACATGAAAAGAATAAATGAAAAAGGTTCCATGGTACAAGCCAAAGGGAGGATAGCTGGTGTCTGAACACAAGGTTGTGGTCAATGATTTTATGTCCACCCTCCCTATTTTGTGTTTGTTTTTCTCTCACATTTTTCTTCTATTCCCTTTTCAGATAGCAGCTATCCTGGACATTCACACCCTTTTTTTTCTTGTTGACCTTTTCCTTTGTCTTTGTACCATGAAACCCTCTTTTCATTTAATTTCTCCTTCCCTCCATCCAGCCACAGACCTTTCTTTTTGTTCTTCATCACCTTTCACCTGCCCAAATTCTCTATCTCTAACTTCTCCCAATTCTGATGCAAGGTCACAAACTAAAATGTTAATTCCCATTATTGCCACAGACTTTCTGAGGTCCTCTGAGCATTTACGTCTTTTCTCATAATTTCAGATCTCCAGCACCTATAGTGTTTAGCACTTGTGTGCCATGCTATTTGTAATAGATCAAAAATCAATATAGCCATTGAAAATATATGAAAAGAATTCTAAACATCATGTGGCTGTGAAAGGTTAAATTGTCTTTTATTTGACACCTGAGAAGTTTCATAATTTTTGAATTATAAACACTTCTCTAAACTTTGCATACACATAACTGGTGTAGGACAAATACATTATATGCAACATGCTATAACTTAATATCAACCTCTGATATTGATCCTGGTATTGAAACCAAATTATTTCATCCATTTCTGAAGAAACTTTTAGTAGTAGTTTATTTTATTGAACTAATAACTATTTCAAGTTAATCTACAAGCAAAGGCATTGAAATACAAGATCCTGAACTTGCATCTACTTTCAAGCAATTGCGTTCTGTGCAAAATGTGACAAAATTACATTACGAAAAATTGTCTTAACATTACCAGTTTTCGTAATGAAATAAATGCAAGGCAACAGTAAATACGGAACAAGACAATGATGAGGTAGAGAACAAAAAAGGTCTAGGTGCACGTACTGACCAATGACTTTTGTTAGTCTATGGGAAGATGATAAACTTACTTATACAGATCACTCGTGAGAACCCATTTGGAAGAATGCAGTTTTAGTCACAATATTTTCAAAAGAACATTCATGCAACGGAATGTTCAAAGAATGGTTCAGGTGAAGCAGCCTCTTGGATCCAAAATTGAATCAAGAACTAAAGATAGATAGATTTGAAATGACAAAACATTAAAGTGAAGCTACAGAAAATAATTCATCCTTTCCCTGGCGAGATTCTCACCAGAATCTGCTCCATTTCAGTCAATTATCTTAAGGAGCTAGTCAAATATCTGATTGAAAATGATGTTGGAGTAATGAGGATAACTGTCAGGCTTTGTACAGATCCATAGGAGACAATCAGTTACAGCACAAGATACAATAGGTCCTGTCTGATTACTGTGGGAAGAAATATCATGTGTAGACCACAGCTAGTCAGAGGAGAGTGACATGGAGTCTGATTTTCTAAAATCTTGCTTGACGACATTTGAGGATCAGTTAATATTTACGCAGAATTTTCCACGTAAGTTTAATTTAGGAGACTAAAATGCATAGTATGTCAACTGTGCCCAAGGTTGGTCTGCAAGCAAATCAACTTGCTGGAACAAATTAACTTGTTTATTCTTCAGCATAAATTGTAAAATGTTACAAAAGAGCAGCTCAATCTGATACGGCATTGCACCTAAAAACGTCAAACCATACACGTGGGAAGATTTTCAATCACGTCAAAGACCAGCTAACACACAAGATTGCATTTATTATGCTAACTCTGGTTTCGAAACATTGACAGGTTTAAATAAGCACTACTGGAGAAACATGCAGAGGCATTATGTTTTAAATCCCATTGTATTGAGCTCATGCTTCAGGGTTTTCATGTAGGTGACTCAGAGCGCACCTATAACAGATGAGGTGTTACAATCTAGATCTCTAGGTCTTAAGACATACTGGACTTCGTCAGCAACATTTAGCAGTATCAGCAGAAAATGTAGACGACTCTTTAAAAGAAACATTCATCTGCAGTCATCAGTTGACAGAAATTTTCCTAAAATTGATTAATCCTGAGAAATTCAAGTATATAAGGTTATATTGCAAAATTTATCAAGATTTCCTTCATCAGTTAAACCAGAGAGGATTGTAGCAATTTGACCACCAGAATCATACCAGCCATTTGCCATTCATTTGTGTATGGAGGAAGAGCAGTACCATTGAAACCAACAAGGAAACCAATGCTCACAAGTATCCTTACGATACATAAAAGGCATACAGATGCCGAGTTTACGATTACTTTCAAAATACAGAATTTAAAGACAGACCCATGTAGCCTACTACAACTAATCTGTAACTCTGTGGCAGTGGTAACGGTAATCAAGACCCACATTTCATTCTTAGCTGTTTTGAACTCTGTTAAGGCTTCAACTTGTGATACATCTCACGTCAGTTCATCAATCCATAACCCATACATGCAACTAGTAATGGTCACATATTCCCACAACCCCAACCTCCAAGCAAATGATTGCATCAGGTTCTATACGGACTCCTTTGCTCAACTGGAAAAAACTCTGGCATCTGCAGCCATTGCAGTGTTCCAAGTACAGGCTGTCACTGATTGGGCACCAGCACATGGCTTGTGTTGACTACAGAATTATGCAGAGCTATCATCAGTTCCCTGGCAGCTACTATGATGTATCTGCATAGCAGCTCTCATCGTTTGACAAACAGGAGATTATACTCTAATCACTAAAGATTATAACATTATATCTAAACAAATGACTAATTGCAATTCAGTGAAGCCCTAGCTCCCTGACTGCACAGAAATAATGTAAGTTCTAGTGGCAAAGATGCCACAATAGAGCAATTAGTGCCCCTAAGCAATAATTTTACTGCCTTACGGTGACAATATATTCAAGGTAATGTCACAAGACAAACTGCCACACAAGCTGTTTACTAACGCTTTCACATTCTCAGACATGCTTTTTCAACTGAGGCAGGCCACCCAATACCATCATAATTATTGATATGCAGCAAGCAGTTTTCTTTCATGTTCCAGAAAAGATATACATCTTATTGTCTGTTTTGTCTTGCACTGATTAAGCCAAATGTGATACTGCATGAGAACTGCTGTGGTCATTTGAAATTTGGTATTCTTGCATTTGTCCTGATGAACCAAGACAAAACAGACATGCCTCCTTTCAGCAATATTTATGAGCTAGAACATGTCTGTTATAGCTTCCGATATTTGTTTCATTAGCAGAACAGTAATGCAGGTTGCTGTTTGTGCCCATGTGTGATTGCAATGAGAAAAGATGGTGCAATGGCTAGTTGTGATTGGATGAGAAACACGTGGAGGAAGAGAATAACCTGAAGTATGGCAGGAGTGCAAGCATTGGTGTGGCAATACCTAATACAGAATGATCAAGGTAGGAAGGTCAGCATCACTCATCCTGTCCTGGACTAGTCATTTTGCATCTCCTCCAAGTTCTTGGAATGACAGTTCAGGCACTTATTACTCCAGACTTGATGCTTGCATTTAGAAACACTGGTTATCCAGGAGAAGGAGGACCTGTCTGCTCCATTACCTTTGTGCAGCTGAACCTAGAGGCTCATACCTTTGAAATCTTATGAATTAATCTCTGTATCGGACACAACTGGCTCAGTGAAACTGCACCTCTCTAACAGATGCAGAAAACATTGTGCCGTTCCCAGAATTAGTAGAAACCCTGCTCCTCAAAGAACTGGGCTAGTTGCCAGTTATGGCTGCTAATTCTGTACATGGAAATCAAGCCATAGCTTCAAAGTTGGTTGGCTCTTCCACTCTCAATCAGACAGCCTCATCACCTCACTCACAAGTCAGCCACAATCAAATCTATCCAATTTACTTTAGCAGTGCTCCCTTATGCTTTATTTACAAATCCACATGACAGTATGAAAAGTATCTATACTAGATTTAAAAAGACAGGGGATTGGGATTTAATAGCAATGTATTTGACGATTATGCAATATTATGAAAATCCACAATTCTTCCTCCCACACTACTATCAACCTGATGCACGAGGAAACAAAACCAAAGAAAGGATTAATTCATCTAAACTTTAATCACAATTATTAAAAGTTTTAGTCACATAGATGTAGGGTATACAACCTTTCCCATTGCTAATTGTGTGGATGTGATGGTTGGCTAAATAAACATAAGCCGCATGCATATTCTCACACTGCAATCTGAAATGCAACAAGTCAAAATGATTATAATGACTGTTGCCACAGTAGCAGTGAGGAAAGACTTAAAGGACATGCTCCTGTTCGACTTCTTAATGACAGCTAAAATGAAACCGGTCCAACAATGCAACAGTGCTCTAACTTGAAACCAACCTCAAATATTGTACAGCTTTTTTGCTAGTATCTTCATTCATTAAATATGCTGCCAATTTCATTTATTGGAGAATATCTTTAGTGCAGACAAATCAACCCTAATTTTCATTCATATATCTTAACTTAGTTAATAAGCTGGTCATCAACATGACTGATATTCGTTGTCAGTTTGGTTTCAGACCATTTCACCAAACACCTGATACACAGTAAGTAACTGACAAGTGAACACGAAAGCTTAAAAAGATTGGTCATAGCCAATGTACTTCTTCTTAGTGCTTAATATTTTAAAACATTAAAATTAATCCTTGCTGAATCTTTTGCAAGTTATAGACATATCATTTTCCATACATCATAAAGTTGATTCAGTCATTTTACTAAGATGCAATAAAAAAGTACTGCAGATGTAAAAAGAAATACATAAATAAGAATTCAAACAATAAAACACAAAAAATTCTGCTAACAAAATATAGCAAGTTGAGAGAAATGACACTATGATGTCTTTATACATTTCTAAATTCCATAAGGCACTGGATAGTTTGTTTCATTTAAATGTGAAAAAAATTACCAACAAAGAACAATAGTGATTAGTACATTTGCAGGCTATGCAGTTAAAAGATCAACAGTTTAACATACAGTTGCTCTGGAAGGGGCAAATTCTAGTGACAGAGGTAATCTGTACTATTACCGTACTTTAAAACTACCTAGCACTTTCCCTGAAGCCACTTTGTGCTTTTAAAGGTATGGTTTATCTGGAATGAAGGGTCAATATTCTTTATTATTTTGCATTCTTTTCGGAGATGTGATCAATTTTCTTGAATTTGTCGTCTTAAAATCAAACATACAGAACATAAATGACACTCTATGTATACTGTCATAGAAACATTCATTAACTGATAATATCTGCACTTCAGCAAGTCTGAATCATCACTGTAAATAAAGAGTATTACGTTATGGAGTTAATGATTTCAACTACAAATGTTTGGAGGCTAGTCTTGTGTTCCACATATCCACAAGGTTACAACATCCAACACGCAACTCATCAAAAGCCAACATCAAACAGGAAGACTATTAGCTAGCATACACAAAGGTATGGCTTTTGTGAACTTTAGGAAAGTCTCCAGCAAGGTATCTCAGATTTTTGAGAAGATTAAGGAGTAGCGTAGTAAACTGATTCAAAATTGATTAGAAGAAACTAAACAGAAGGTAGGAGTTAAGGGCAGGATTACAGAGAGGTTGAAAATCTGTCCCGATTTCCTGCATTATTGAGTTCTAGAGACACTTCTATTCACAGTGTATATCAGTAATTTGTATATGAACTTAGAGGGAACGATATGATAATTTGAAAGTATCAATATAGATGATTGAGTCAATTTCCTAAAAGACTGCAAAAAAGCTATAAGGAATGCTGGGAAGATAGGAAGCTCACAAGCGTAGGTTAAAATTTAATGTCAGTAAGTTTATGGTGATATAGTTTGGTATAAAAATAAAGTAATTATGTTCTATATAGAATTAGTTGAATGTTGTTGAAGAGCAAAGTAAAAGTGCACACAATTAAAGGACATTTAAGGCATCCACTACAGTTTATAAGGTATTAAGAATTGCTATTGGAATTTTACGATATTAGAAAAAGTATAGAACATACAAGCCAAATAGTACGGATGGTTGATACAAAGCCTCAGCAAAACTTCAAATATAACATGCAATTTTGGGTTCCATATAATTACAAGGATACAAAAAGATTCAACAGGACCCTGCCTGGCATGAAGAAATGCAGCACAACACTTGAAAATTGGGGCTTTTTCATCGGAATGTTATGGATTTTAGAATTATTTAAAATTATGGTAGGATGGGACAGTAGAAGTACTCTGCATCTTAATAGTAAACTGACCTAGACCTAGGGACAGAAAATTAAATACAAGATATGAGTGCTCAGAGCAGAATAAACAATCCAGGCAGAAACTATGCCAACATCTAAAATCAGAACTGATAGATGAGTAAAGGAAAACGAATATGGAAACAGGTAGATAGATATGATTAGGACTAGTGGGCATAGAATGTAACCACTTGGAAGGAGCTGAGCTGTTTCTTGGTTGTAACTTCCACATACTGCTATGTCTTAAACAATTTTCTACTACTACTTACTCTGAAAGAGTAAAAAAAAGCCATTGCTATTAATTCCAGGTCTTTGAGTATTCATTTTGCCCCTCTCAAAAGAAAATAACTGGCTATTTTATAATTATTTTAGAATAAAGGGAATAGCATCATGGGACAAAATTCTAAAGCAGAATTCAGTACTTAAGTGATGTAATTTAATGGGAATCCCGTACCTTGTTGGTAGAGATTCTGTACTTAAGTCACCAGTCTCTTAAAAAGATGGCAAGGATGACATAAAAACCTGAATAAAAGGACAGACAAATCGAAAATGTGATGGCTAACAATTTATCAACAGTATACAATCCATCTTAAAGCATTAACATTATTTGCTTTGGCTACACACCTATACACAGTATGCAAAAGTAGATTTTGTTGGAATTCTGTGTGGAAGGTTAGGAGTGCACTTCCATCACTGTAGATTACTTACAAGATATTCAATGTTTTACTATATATAGGTTTTAAGTCCAAATAAAGACAATAAAATCAACACATACCATCAAAATTAGTATTCTCTGTCCCTCTTTTGATTTATTTTACAATATGTTCCTTCACTGTAACAGTGTCCTTTTTCAATCTTTTCAGAGTAACCATGCCGAGGATCACTATCCCAAAAGTGACGCTTCTTGGAGAAATAATGCCTTTCACGATCAGAGCTGTCTCTGTCACGGTCAAACCTGTCCCTCTCACGGTCAAACCTGTCCCTCTCACGGTCAAACCTGTCCCTCTCACGGCCACGGCTGTCCCTATCAAGGCCACGGCTGTCCCTCTCACGGCCACGGCTGTCCCTCTCACGGCCACGGCTGTCCCTCCCACGGCCACGGCTGTCCCAATGTTGATCAACTGAAGGTGAATTTTCATAGTAACTTCTTTCATTACTTTGCTGTCTTTTGTGATCATAATCCATTCTTTTCTCTTGATAACTATCACAGGAACCTGGACTTCTGGAACGATCTCGCAGATATCCACTTCTCTCTCTAGATATTCGATTTTTTCTTTGTCCAGTGTATTTACGCTCCCTTTTTGGGAGAAATAAAATGCAAACATTTTACTATGAGCCATTTACTACAAAAATGTACTCAAATAGTATATTTTCTTGCATGTGTTTTTGTAGCTTTCTGGGTCATAGAATTTATCAACTGTCATACATGTCTTATTAGTTACCATGTAAACAATCATAATGCAAGTTCATGGATGCCAAGCTTGCATACTTCAAATACTAAAAAAAATTATTGCAATAAATGTTTTGATTGAATTTGTAAACCAGTTGTTATGTATTCTCTAAATAAGTAGAAGTTACCGTAATTCTAAGCTGCTTTGGCTGGCCTCTCCCTCGTGAAGTTGATTTGGAGGATAGTTTACTGAATCCCTGAAGCTGTCTGGTGCAATTGCTTTGGACTTTTTAACAAAAGAAACAAGCTGCAGTAGATTCCCATAATCTATTAAAAAGTCAACCAAGACACTGTTAAACAAGAAAGCCTTTCAGAAATTTATTTTTCTTTATTAATTAGACAAATAAATTTACTTTTGCTTCTACATTAAAAAGACAAACCTGAATGCACTGTGGTTTTACTTCCATTTTTCTTGTATATATGATCACAGATGCTGGACAGACCTAGCAATTTTAAAGAGCAGCAAGGAACATCACAAAATTGTAGATCACTTAGTCACTATCATGTTGCTGTTTATGAGAGTTTGGTAGGCTGCAATTCCTATGTTATAACAGTGACTACATTTTGGAAGTAATTCATTGGTTCTTAAGCACTTTGAAGAATCGAGTCTGACGTTTTTCCTATCGTTCCATCTCGTACCCATTGAGCTCTCGTTGTTGACAAGACCCATCTTCGTTCTCCTTCAGTCCTATTCCAGTTAAACTGATGACCCAATAATATTCCTTCTTGGTCTCCACGTTATTTGATCATTAACCATCCTCAAACTTCATGTTATCATTGCCCCTACGGTTTCCTTCACCTTAAGCTTCCTAATCAAGTCTGCGTCATTACTCACCCTGGAATGCCTAGCTATCCCGTTTGAATATCTGCACTGATTTCCCATTCCACTTGGCTCCCTCTCCTTCCCAATAACAGAAGCAATTAAATGATCTTTGCCTCTATCACAAAACCACTTTGGGGAAAGAGAAAAAGTTAAGTGCAAATTATTTTTGAAATAGTAAAATTGAAATCAAACGTTCCGCAAGTGCACAGCACACTGTTGTGAATTCTATCTTGTTACATAATTCGCCTGTAAGAAGCACATTTATTCATATTATTATTTCCAAATGTTATAAAACAGCTAGGTTACTATTTACTTATGTTACCCAACACTTACCATTGTCCCCATCATCAATGGTTGAAAATGTTCCTTTGCTATCAAGTTCTTTAATAGGCTCCTCTGTGCTTTGCAATGTCTCTTGAACACCTGTTTCCCTTTAGAAGAACTGATATATTAGTGTGAGAAGTAAAAACATTAGTTAAATTTGCAATGAATGATGCAAAAGGTACACCATCTAAATGCCAGGAATACTTTGCAGTTTGCCTTTAAAAGGTGAAACGTCCACATTAATGCAAATTGTTTAGTTAGAAGTGGGATTATGTAAGTGTACACAGCTTGGTAAAGAAGGCTAATTAATTACAAGTGCAAATACAGGTAGCCATGAAGGAATATGATACTATGGAAATAACGGAGACCTTACTCAAAAATACGGCAGGACCAATATAATTCTTCCTGGTCACAAGGTAGATACAGTAAATAGGAAAGAGGAGTGGCAGTACTGATTAAGAAAAATATTACTGTTCTGAGGGTTGCCCTGAAACTAATCAAGGATAGAACCTATTTGGATCAGAGAATTACCAAAGTGCAGGAAGCCATTCAGCTATTTGCTCCAGCACCCGCTTTAGAATTGTTACCTTACTTTGAATTGTCCCGCCATGTACTTCCTTCCAAAATAATTTATATCACATTTCCTCACATTAGGCTTCATGTGTCACTTGTCAGTCCATTCACTGACTTGTCTATGTCCTTTTGAAGTTCTATGTTATGCTCCTCACAGTCTCAATTATTCCAAGTTTACAATTGTGCCCTGTACACCAAGGTCCAAGTTATTAGTAGTAGGAGTACTGCTGAAAAGATATAAATTTCAAAGGTTTTTCACTTACACTCATCAGGACAATTCACAATACGCAAGTAAAGGAAAACCAACATTTATACTGTAAGAGTGCTGTTTGGATGGTAACAGGGTTGATTGGTAGGGATATCGCCATGGAGAATGCACCAATTAATGATAACTAACAGTTAAATTCTTAAATTTGTTTAAATTTTTTAAACGAGGTAGTTTGAATATATGCAAGCTGGAGGATCAATACCTCATTTTCCGCTCAGGCACTTTATCACCTCTAGGTCTCAATACCAAGTTCCACAACTTCAGAGTACAACCTCTGTCCTCCTTTTCATAACTCAGTTTACAGCCAATTTAAGTCTCTATCGATCCTATGCCACCGTTACTGCTTCCCTTTGTCTCTTTGTTTGGCAAATCTCCCCAGAACCTGACTATTAAGTGCATGAGTCCGTCTTGGTACCCAAATGCAACACCACATTTATCTAAATTAAGTTCCATCTGCCACTCCTCGGCTCAGCTGATCAAGGTCCCATTGTACTCTGAGATAACCTTCTTCACTGTCCACTACACCACCAATTTTGGTGTCATCTGCAAACTTACTAACAATTCCTTCTAAATTCACATCCAAATCACTGTTGACGTTAGTGAAAAATCTTTGGGCATCTTGAACTCATTGGCATGACTTTTCTTGTCTACAGTACCCTTATTTAGAAAAGCACTTGTCCTAGTTATACTAACCGCCTTATGAACTTTCCCAGCAAGGTTTATAACAGTTTGTAAATGAGCTGGGTTTCTGTGTTCTTACACCCCCTTAAAATATTACAATTTATATTATACTGTCCATTTTTGCTGCTAAATGCATCACATCATACTTAGATTAAACATCATCGACCTTGTATTATTTCAATTTTATGAGTCTCGCTTAAGTTTGTTATACTGCTCACTACTTAGTACGTTACCAAACTTTTGAAATTTTACTCCCAATATCCAAGTGTCAGTGATTGTTATTTGTATGGTTTAATACTGACCACTGGGTGTACACCACTGCCTATGACCCTCCAGTTAGAAAAATCCATTCCTCAAGTCCAATGAGGAGATGGTCATTTGGTAGTGATGTCACTGGGCCAGTAATCCAGAAGCACAGGCTAATGCTTTCACCGGTTCAAATTGCACCATAGGTGAAGGAACTTTTATTGATAATTAATTTTAAATTTCTGTAATGTAAAGCTAGTCACAGTAATGTTCTAGTTGCAAAAACTGCGTCACTAATGCCCTTTAAATCTGCCATCCTTAGCCGGTCTGTCATAAATGTTACTCCAGATTCACAGTAATGCAGTTGAGCCCTAAATGTCCTCTGAAATGACTTGCAAGCCACTCATATTAAAAGCAATTAGAGATGAAAAACAGTACCAGGGATGTATTCATTCCAGGAAAGAATAAATAAACAAAACCACCATTATTCTCTGCCTGCATTCTGCAAGTTAATGGTGTAGCTATTCTACGTGAGCACATCAGGACAATTTGCAAGAAATGCAAAAGGGAAATATACCATTTTGTATTGTATCACAGAAGAGTACTCGTTAGTAAGGGGGGAAGATACCCGGATGATCATTAAGGATGTTATACTAAGCATCTGGAAAATTTCTTGTGAAGAGTCTGCATGGTTTTGTGAAAGGGAAACATTTTTGACAGCTTTATTGGAATTCTGAGAAGGAGTAGCGTGTGTGGATAAAGGCAAGCCCATGAAGTACTGTACTTGGATTTCCAGAAGGTATCTGACAAGGTTCCACAGAAAAGATTATTGCACAAAGTAGAAGCTCATGGTATAACTTTCACTTATAACTTGCTAGCAATAGATAGAAAATTGAGTATGCATAAATGGGTCTTTTACAGATTGGCAGGATGTGACAAGTACAGCCCTACAAGGATCTATGCTGGGCGCTAAGATTTTAACAATGATATCAATGACTTAGATGAGGGCAGTGAAGGCATGGTGGCTAAATTTACACATGACGCCAATATTAGAAGGAAAGTATGTTGTGAAGCTGAGATAACAAGGATACAGACTGATATGGATGGGCTAAATGAGTGGGCAAAAATGTGGCAGGTGCAGTATGAAGTGGGAAAATGTGAAATTGTTCACTTTGGCAGGAAGAATGCAAAAGCAGAGTATTACATAAACGTTACCTAAGTATTTTGTGGATTGTGACACACCTCAACAATTTTTCACAATTCATGTCTAGATCTGGCCAGACTGCAGGGCTTAGATCAGATCTATTGGTTGTGGAGTCACTTAGCCCTATCTATCTCTTTCTGCTTCTGCTGTTTGGAACACAAGTTCTGTATTGCATCTTCACTGGTTTGTCACCTCATTATTCGGAATGCCTGGTACTGCTCCTGACATGTGCTCTTGGGACAGTTTGTTAAACCACACTTGGTTTCCTGGCTTGATGGCAATGGTAGAGTACGGGTTATGCCAGGCCCTGAGGTTAAAGAACATGGCAAGAGTAGAAACTCTTTTTTTAAACATTCATCCACAGTGGGCAATTGCACATCTTTAATTACCCTTGAGAATGTGATCATGAGCTGCCACTTTTAACCACTGTCCTTCATGTGGTGCAGGCATACTGATGGTGCTGTTATGGAGTAGTTCCAGTAATATTATCCACAAAGTAAAGGAACAAACATACAAATTAGGAAAAATAGGCCGTTTGGTCCTTTAAAATTGCTTTACCATTAATATGATCATGTCTAACCTGAATCCAACTTTCTCATCCATGCTTAATTACCTGGGATTCCCTTGCCTAACAAGAATCTATCCAAATAAAAACCAAAAGAACTGCGGACGCTGTAAAGCAGGAACAAAAATGAGTTGCTGGAAAAGCTCAGCAGGTCTGGCAGCATCTGTGAATGAAAAAGCAGATTTAACGTTTCGGGTCCGGTGACCCTTCCTCAGAACAGAAGAATCTATCCAGCTCCATTTTATAAATATTCCACACCCCTCCTCCAATGCCTTCAGAGGCACAGAGTTCCAAAGTCACAAAAGCCTCAGAGAAAATGTTTCCCCTCGTGTCTTAAAAAGGTGACCCTTAACTTTAAAATAATGTCCAATAGTTCTGACCTCACTCAGAAGAATGAACATCCTTCCCAAGTCTACCTTGTCAAAAAATTCAATCTTGTAAACTTCAATCTAATACCATCACTCACCCTTCTAAACTCCAGTGAAAATAAGCCCAGCAGTCCAATCTTTCTTCATAAGACACCCATTCATTCCAGGTAACAGTCTAGTAAACGTCCTCTGAGACCTCTCAGAATCATTTACATCCATCCTTAAATAAGGAGACCAAAATTGCACACAGTATTTGAGATGTGGTCGCCTGATAGCCTGCATAAATGAAACATTTAAGTTCAATTCCTCTTGCAATAAAGGATAGCATTCCATTAGACTTGTTAATTACTTGCTTTTCCTGCATACTAACCTTTTATGACTGCTGCACTAGAACACAGAATCCTTTGCACCCTGAAATTCTGCAGTCATTCTCTGTTTAGGTAATAGTCTGCCTTTTTTAATTCTTCCGACTGACATGAGCATATTCTACTTTCAAACAGCAAAGTGATGCAAAGGGTCAGACAGTGCTATCAAGCTGACTTACTCAGCATTAATCTACTCACTAGTCCTCAGTTTGAGTTCCACCAGAACCACTCACCTCCTAACTTTATTACAAAATTGGTCCAAACATGGACAAAAGAGCTAAATTCAAGTGGCAAGATGAGAGTTAGAGTCATCAAGTATGGCAACAAGCAGCTCAAGTAAAACTGGAGTTAATGGGATAATAGGCAATGAACATTCACGTCACAGAACTGCCAGACAATGACTATCTCCAACGAAAGAGAAAATCCAACCATATCTCCTTGACATTCTGTGGAATGACCATCACCAAATCGTCCCATTATCAAGATCTTGGACTCAATGGAGTTACCATTGACTGGACAGGACAGGCCATGCAAAGTATTACAATTAGGAATTCTGGCATGACTCGCCTCTCATCTCCACAATACCTGCCCACGGTTTGCAAGGCACAAGTCAGGTGTGTGATGCAATACTCCCATTGCCTGGATAAGTGCAGCTCCTATAACACTTCAGAAGCTCAATGGCATCCAGGATAAAGCAGCCCACTTTATTGGAGCCCCATCTACTACCTATATCTTCACTCTTTCCACCAATGATAGACCATAGTAGCTACCTGTACTATCTACAAGATGCAATGTTCATCGTTGTTTCCAAGTTCCTAAATGGTCTTGATCAATAATCTCGTTCAGTCCCACAACCCTCCTGAGATACAACAAAATGAATTATTATGCTCGTGTATCCCTGATTTTAATTGTTCCACCACAGATATCCATGCTTTGAGCTGCCTCGGCCCCAAATTCCTAAATATACTTCCTTCACTATTCCCTGTTTCCTCGTTCAAGAAACTTCTCAAAACTGACCTCTGACCTAGCTTTTGCATCAGACCCGATATTTCTTTACATGCTTGGTGTTATACTTTGTTTAAAACATCCTTGTGAAGTGTTTTGGGAAGAACGTTAAATGCACAATATTGTTAATGTTGACAAATCACTGTCAATTTTAGCTGAAGACTGGTGTACAAACTCTGGATACTGCACATTAGGGATGACGTCAGGACTGAATAGGATGCAGAAGTGATTTAGCAGATGATACCATGGATATGGAGAGATTGGAAAAGTTGGGCATGTTTTCTTTAGAGCAAGGACAATCAAAGGAGAATCCAACAGTGATAATAAAGTTCATGAGGCATGTAATACAACAAGACAGCAGTCTTTGTTACGTGGAAATACATCTAGTAGGTACCCAGAAGAAGGATGAAAAGAGACACTATAGCATTTTTCAAAAGGCAAATGTATAGTTCCTTGTAGAAGACTTTTTTGTAGTGTTATGCAGTCAAAGATAGGGTGTGAGAGGAGGACTAAATTGTATGGTTATTTCATAAAGCTGCAGAAACATGAAAGACTGATAGAATCTTGCAACACAGGAAGAGGTTATGATTCTCCATCATTTCTATATGTTAAAAAGTGTTTTTAGAAGCAACTGCAGGAACACGTTGCAAACGGTATGAGGAAACAGAGTTGGATTGAATCTATTCTCAAGCTTTGCTTCAAATGTAGTCATTTTCCTAATGTTTATCTGATACATTCGTGATTACATTCAGCAAATATAAGCACACAAAATAGTCTCAATAAAACAAGCCAAACTTTTCAATACTTTGAAGAAAAAACTTGGTGTTCTTTCTTTATCTGTAGACTGATCATAATTTGGTTTTGTGCCATCTTATAAAGCTCTGGCCTTTCTATTACAAAGCTGTTTTGACTATATTGTAGGTTATTATGCATGCAGCTGATTTTGACAAAAATGAAATGTATGACTAGCCATTTCATGTTAAAATAAGCAATTTGAGCATTGAACAATTTATAAAAACCTATATTTGCACAAATAACTTTCAATGATTGACTGGGCTGTAAATTGCTCTTCAAACGCATAAGAATGATGACTGAAAGCGACAACTTTTTTGAGTTTTCATAAATCTGTAAAAAAAGTTGGACGATGAACAAATTTAGCACAAATCAGCACTCAAATTCTCACCTTCCTGATAACTTGTAATCCTTATGACATGTATTATATATAGGCGGAGTCTTATTATTGTCCAAGGTGGAAAGACCAGTTATTGTTGGTGTTATGAATGTCGCAGGATTAACACAACAAGCTTGCGATATCTGACTTAGTCCGTATCCACTAAGAACTGGAATTGGAACATTCACAGTTGATACTGGCGATGAAGGTAAGCTTTGTAATAAAAATCTTGGAAATGTACTGAGAAGTGGAGCCGGGATGTTTGTAAGTGGTATTCCCAACGAAGTTAAGTATTTGAAAAAAAAATGGGGAAATGCATTAAGAACTGGAGATGGAATACTTGCAGCTGATATGTTCACAGGTGGTACAGCCAAAGAAGTTAAGTTTTGTAACAAATTATTCGGTGAAAATGGTGTAGAACCATGGTGGAGTTTAGTTTCAACAACTGAAGTGATTTGTCTCATTGGTGGATGCGGGAAAAGTGGAAAGGTTTTGTCTGGGACTGTTGGATCCTGTGTCAACGAACGAAGGTTTATAAACGTTGAAAACTTCTGCTGGATCCGCCACGGAATTGGGTCTTTGCAAAAGAAATAAAAAAAAATTGGTATCAAATTGGAAACATCACCAAATGTAACCTTCGTTATATCGGATGCAAAGTATTTGCACACTCTTGAAAGAGCACTGAAATATTCCAACAATTTCATGTAAATGTAGTTTGAAACCAAACATTCAACTTTACATATGAACTTAGAACTCACAGGATATACATTCAACTAAATAATTGTCATATCTCAACAACATAACTTAACAAGACTTGCATTCATTCAAGACTACCTGACAATTCAAACATAGCAAATGTGAAGTAACTCACTGATTTGATAAAGAAATTAATTCAGTTACATTTCCGTAAAAAGATCACAGGCTAGATCTACTAGCAGCACTTGGGTTAGCAATGCACCGAAAGTCAATTAGTTGATATCTATATTAAGGGTATAATACTTAACGTTTACAAGATGACTTCCTTTAACTCAATTGTGATTTGACATTACCAGCATTAATCCAGCATGCACCAGTACGAGGATATCCCTTCTCAGCAATTGAGGGGCAGAAAACAAATTATCAATACTGTGCAGCAATTTCATCTATTAGTGGTAAATTTTTCACAAAAGCTGTGTCTATGATCTTAGCATTCACACTATTCATGGAAAAGAATGCCTGCATTTAACCAGCTCTTAAATTTAATGTTTTGTTTAGAAACAGCTCCAAAGTAATCATAAATTTAATGAAAACAGAACATTTTTGCATAGATTCAATTCTCTACTGATACTTCTGGAGGAAAATATATTTTGGTGAAAGTTGGCCATTTAACATGTCATGTATATCACAAACATCGTCAATGTTCTGCTTGTATAATGTTTGTGCAATGCCCTTAGAATAAGCATTCCAGTGTAGAAATTGCGAAGTCTATAACTACCATTGCTAAATGTATTAGATCAGAATACATCAACACTGGGCATTTATTAACAATTTGGCAGATTTTTTGGAAGAAACATATAAGATAAAGTGTAATAAAGAAGTTTGATTATTGGGTCATTGATTCAATAACTTATTACTGATTCCATGCCATTTTATGCCCTAGATTACCATTGTTGATTTTCCAAATAATCACAAAGCCAAAACATTCAAAATTATTTGCTACTGCATGATTTCATCACTTATTGGGTATTCAGCCAATGAAACATAAGAACTGCAATTTTTCACTTTTTGGGGACAGTGAAGCGTTGATGGTCAGATTTGAGAATACAAGAATTCAAGAACACAACAGATGACTATGGAATTGAGTTTCACGTAGGTTGCTATCTGGTCATCCTCACTAGCTCAGTTAACTTTATTCAGAAAGTAACTATAAAAAAGCAGGAAAGGGCTCTTGTGATGCAGTGGTAACATCCTTGCCTCTAGATCAGAAATTCCAAGTCCAACTTGCTGTAGAGGTGTAATTGCATGCCTGATCAAGGTGATTAAAAATATCCACAAAACTGAAAGAGACCAAGAATAATCTCTCGTCTGCACATATTTCATTCATCTTAGCCAAAGCAAAAGTACTTCAGTATAATTAGTGTAAGCATCTGATCAAGGAAGGACAGATTGAATCAACACAACTGCAGTGAATCAATTTCCTGCATCATGTGTGTGCATGCTGCAGAGGGCAGGATTCTGTTTGGCTGTGATAGCCCAGGACTAAACAGTCTTTGAACATTTTTAGCAGCAAATGTCAACAATCAACCAATGCTTCTAGGAGAGTGATTGGTGAGTTGAAACAAATGAAAATATAGGGTGGGGGCATACACACAAGCAGACCAGGCACATAAAATAACGATATTAGAATATGGATAATATACAAATATATAGAGCATACCTGGATATCCTTCTTCTGCAGGATCAAATACAAATTGGTTGTCATTTCCATTGCGACCAAAAATATCACAGTGTGCTGAATGCAACTTTGATTTTTCCATTGCTGCAAGATGCAGAACATTGTACAGATGGAACAGACACCTTGAACAGTAAGAAATACAACCAGCAATCTATAAATAACCCACTTCCCTGCTCTTTCCCTACATTGTTGTATCTTCCGCCGCTTCAAACGTACCCACTTGTCACTTGCAATGCCATTATTTCTACATCCCTGTCAAAAAGGATTAAGTGCTTTATCAATAGTTCCCAATTCTGAGCATATCAATCAAATTTCCTCACTTCTTTCTAGCAAAGGCAGTTTCAGTTCTTCTGTTTTCCTTTTTATCTAAAACCTCGCATTCCTAGAATCACCTCAGTGAATTGCTGCACCTTTTCCAAGGTTGGTCCTCTTTCCTGACACAATACAACTTAAACTGAACAAAAAATTCTAAATGCATCAGCTGGCTTTGGATCATTTGTAACATTCTTGCCTCTAGTTCAGAAGGTTATGGGATAAGGACTTGGTCCAGAAATACAGCACATAATACAGGCTGACAATTCAATGTGGTACTCAACTACAGTATTGTATTGTTGTAGCAGGATTCTTTAGGTGCAATAAAAGATGTTAAACTGAAGTCCCATCTGAAATTTCAGCTGGATATATAAAAAAGCTTCATGGAACCATTCAAAAAAAGAGCAAAGCATGGCCATTCTTTATCACTCAATTAAAATTTGCAAAAAAAATGATCTTACTCTTGTTTATCACAGTTTAAACAAATTGCTGGAGTAGAAGCAGGAGGATAAGTTGAAACGATTACAGATTTTTAAAAAAAGGTTTGAGATTGAAGGAATTTTGAAGAAGAGGGCATGGGTGTCAAATTTTGAGAAATTCGCTCCCTTTGCCAAATTTCTACAGTTAATGACCAATAATATGTAGATAATTGATCATTTCCAGTCTGCCATAGACAACCCTTCATGTATAGTGCTATGACATCATTAAAGATTCAACACTAATGTTGTTATTCCATCATTCTATTCCAGTGAGTTTAAATTTGTCAATCCTGTCTAAACCAAAGAGGTCTCTGGCTACAATATCATATTCCTCCATGTTTATTTATTCATTAGCGGGGGGAGGGGGTCACTGGCTAGGCAGCATTTATTACTTATCCCTAATTGCCCAGAGGACAGTTCAGAGTCAACCACATTGCTGTGGGTCCGGAGTCACATGTAGGCCAGACCAGGTAAGGATGGCAGTTTCCTTCCCTAACTCTCCAATTTTCTTTCTGATGTTTTGTGAAACTTACTAACCAATGATGATATTTTTGCAATATGAACAATCATTCTTTTTGCACGTTTTGTATCTCTATCTTTTTGTCCAATTCTATACCCCCTTAGCTCAAAACCTTTTATTTTCCACTTCTTGTCTGTAGTGTTTTCCCTATTTTAATAAAGCCTTCTGATTCTACAGATTAATTAATTCTGCTGTTTTTCACACATCCTCACATTTGAGTCCATTCTTGCTGAAACACTTCAACATTCAACCTTAAAGTTCTAATCTTGCACTATTCAGCCATACCAATAGGTGGCATGGGAAATGAGCCACAGGTAGCCTGGCGGTCTCCTAGTGCCAACTATCTTTACAATTGAAAATGTAGTATAACATAAACCAATCTGAGACTGGGTTCTGGAATTCTCCTGTCCACATTACCTTAAATATTCACTCTCTCCACCACTGGGACACATTTTCTGCAGCGTACACACCTACAGTATGTACTGTTGCACTTCACCTCCCAAACTTCAAAATTTATAACCTAGACAGAGCAACAATGACACGTGCAAGCTCCCTTCCAACTTATATCATCCTGACTTGCCTTGAGTGATTCAATAAAGTGGCTTACCACCACTATCTCAAGGACAAACAGGGATAAACAGTAAATGCTGGTCTTGTTAATGACAGCTACATTCCACAAACACCCTCAATCACAAAATCTTAAGACTTTTTTTTCTGTGCAGAATGAAGCCATTTGGGGACTACATTGTGACTAAGTCAAAATGCTCAAAGTCAGTCTCCTGCCTTTCCCTTTTAATCCTAAATAATGTTACCATTTAAATATTCATCCAACACCCCTTTGAATGCCTCAATTAAATTGTTTCAGCCACACTTCCGGGGAGTGTATTCCATACCCTAAATAACCATTTTGTGAAAAAAGATTTGCTCCTCCCATTTCCGCTTGTTAAAAAACTCTGCCCTCTGGTTCTTGGTCTGTTTATAGGTGGGCGAAGTTTCTCCCAGTCCACCTTGTCCAAATTCCTCATGATTTTGAAAATTTCTATCAAATCTCCTCATAGCTGCTCCTCTCCAAAGAAAACAGTTCCAACTTTCCAATTTTTCCTCATTACTAAAGGGCCTCATCCCTGAAACCATTCTCACAGACATTTCCTGCATGCTCTCCAATGCATTCACATGCTTCCTAGAGCTGCTATAGCATTGTACATAATATTCCTGCTGAGATCTAATCAATGTCTTATGCAGGTTAGTCATTACCTAAATACTCTTGTACTCTATGTCCTCAGTTATGAAGCCCAAAATACCGTATAGTTTATTAACAGTTCACTCTACCTGTCCTCCCACCTTTAATAACTTACGTAAACATATACACAGATGTCTCCACTCCTGCACACCTTTTAGAATAGTACCCTTTATTTTGTTAACGTTTCGGGTCCAGAGACCCTTCCTCAGAACACTCAGTTCTGAGGAAGGGTCACCGGACCCGAAACGTCAATGTTTTTGCCTTCACAGATGCTGCCAGACCTGCTGAGCTTTTCCAGCAACTTTGTGTTTGTTCCTTATTTACAGCATCTGCAGTTCTTTTGGTTTTTATTCCCTTTATTTTGTACTGTATCTCAGTTCTTTTAATTCCAAAGTACATCACATCACATTTCTCCAAATTAAACTTCACAGTTTTGCATTAAATTATAACTAACAATGTACGAAACTTCCTGAATTTAATTGGCACATACTCAACAAACTTGCAAGCTGAACAATCGGTAAGGTTTTAGAATTCAACCTCTATTAATTTCACATTGGTTGGGTTCTAACAGCAGGTATTAGACAATTCCAAACAGTGTTAAGTCACATTTAAGGCCACATACGGCAGGAGAATCTTGTTTTATATGTACATGTATTTTATATGAAAAAATCAGTGTAAATATCTCAGCACTCCAAAATTTCTTTAGTGGAATGCAGCAACTTATATGGACAAGGAGTTAAAACTGCAACATTTTGTAAAAGCAAGATGATCAGTTGTTTCTTAAATAAGTGCTAGTTGAGGGAAGATATCAGCCATCACATCAAATAGACTTTCCCCTTTTACAAATTGTAACATGCTTATTTAGATGAGCAAGAAACAGGGTCTTAGTTTAATAACAGCACAGCAGCATCAACCTACAATCTAAGCAAATTCTCTTCCAGATTTCAAAATAACAAACTCTATCCCAACAATAAGCAGATTACCAACTTAACTAAGCTGTTCACTGAGAACTTCCTACGTTCATTTCTAATTTATATTGGACTCAATTTAGAATGAGATGAGTGGCAAATCTATTAAAATGATATGTCTACAAACTTAAAAACTTATAACCAGAAATTCTAGGTCACATTAGACTGCAGTCTTATCACTGTGCCAAGAGAAATGATCTGTGAAGTAGCTTCAGGAAAACTACCATAAATTAAAAAGTACAAGAGTAAGTCTAATATTATTCTACATTTTAAAGTTCTATAACTTACTCCATCAACTAGACTCCTGAAACTACCATATTTAAAGGTAAGTACTGTACATGCTGGAGATTTGAAATAAAAACAAAATGCTGCAGAAACTCAGCAGGTCTGGCAGCATCTATGGAGAGAGGAACAGAGTTAACCTTTTAAATCCAATATGACTTATCTTTGGAACTTACGAATTTCTCCAGTACTTTCAATTTTTAATCCTTAAGATACTGACTGGCCAGGATTTGAAATGCTTAACCTTCAGAAAACTCACCATTTATGAACTGGGTTTCAAAATACTGGTAATTTGCTTTCGTAAAATGCCGGACATCTGGGTACCTTCCGTGAACTTCTTTTTTTGGAAGAATCTTTAACAATCTTTGTATATCACTTTTCAAAGACAACGTCACACTAGCAAACCTATAAAACATAGTTAGTTTTTAAAGTCCAAAGTAAGAAATTCAATGAATACCTTTGCCTTTTAAGAGCACGAGACAGAAATACTTGTGTGCGCATAGCTAAGTTGCAACACTCATTTGTCTCTTACTTTCGATGTTACAGGTTCAACATAAATGCAAATTGGTGTTCATGCAGTCATTAGCTGAATGACAGAATGCAGTGTCGTTATAATATCAGTATTAATAGCAATCGTCTTTCCACATGCACAACTTTAGGTGAGATGCAGATGTATGGTTAAGAGTTGTTGGCCAAGTTGTGCACAATGCTGCTACCTTCAAGAAAAACAGCAATCTCATCGTGTGCATCAACTCTTAATTGCATTGAATAATGTGAAATTTCTTATTTGTGTAGTAGCTATGAACAAAATGTGCCATCGAAAGTTAAGTCCATTCATTTGAAGTCAGTGTCGCTTTCCAAACGCCACTATTCTATTTGGCACTGAAAATTAACTAATTCAAATGTAGAATCTAATTCTTCAGGTTTTCATCGTAATACTTCATACTTCTAGGCCATTTCGGATAGATGGAATTATTGGACTCAAGTGACTTAGATTTCTCTTTGGTTGCCTGCTTTTGCCTTAAAACTCTACATCAGCAGCAGGTCCACAGAACATAGCATAAAATTTGCTGACCAGTTGCCTATGATTTTCACCTCTACTGAAAGTAATACTTGGTAAAATGTCCCAGGTAATTCTAAATATTGGATATTAGCAATTATTACTTCACAGTCTAAATTTCTTCACCCAGAGATACAGCCTGTGAAATTCTCAGAAACAGAAAAGCACTTGAAGCCAAAACACAATGTTTTCAAGGAGACAGATATAGTTCTTAAGGCTAAAGGGATCAAAGGGTATGGGGCAAAAGCAGGAATAGAGTATCCAGTTGATTATTCATGATTATATTGAATAATGGAACAGGCTTGAGAGGCCAAAAGACTTACTCCCTTTCCTATTTTCTGTTTCTATGTTTCACAGAGACTGGCAAATGTGCAATATATTGTTTATTTGCACACTATTTCCCGAGGGAAATGTCACTGAATTTAGGAGGGAACAAGTAGTTTTTTGGTGGCAAAATGGAGGAAAGTAAAAAGGAGTTCATACTACATTTTTTGAACTCTTGAACATCCAAAGAATCAGTAATGGTCTTTGCCACTTCTAAAATTTCTAATTTTTGAACAGATTGCTACTCTGGCTAATACTGTCTCTTTTCCAATTTGGACTGTTCCACAAAACAAACTCGAACTGGCTGCTCTGTTAAAAAAAATCTCAAAATAATGCATCGGCATTTGGGCAAGGAAAAACAGGGTCTGCATTTTGCAAGAAGTACCGATATTATAGTTACATTTTGGAGAAAAGGAATTGATTGGGGTGGAAACATTTGGTTGTATTAGAATTAAGCTTTATAGCGAATTTGAGAACAAACTATTGCATGGAATTGTGGTCTGTTAAAACTGATTTCTGTAATTTTACAAATCACAGATCTCCAAAATTCATCAAGTCTCTATTTTTAAGAGATGATATTCCTTCTCTACCTAGCCTGCTGACTTTATAAAATATTTTATAGCAGGTCAGATCAGACTTGGAATTCACCTTTCATTAACTTCATTCCTAAGTACAGACAATCCATGATGCTAAGACCATTAGACCTACAAAAGTGCATGGTCAATGTTCCATTATCGGGAGTTTATTTCTTTAAATCAAACAGAATTGACCTAATCAAAATGAACTATAGGATATACGGTAAAGAATGTGATTAAAGGTGGGCAATTTATTTCTTAATTTTATCTTACGGAATTTGAATTCAGATGAAAGTGAGTGTTCAAAAAGGGTCAGACAGTTCTTCTGGAACAGTAATTAAATTCAGCACTTTTGACAGAGCAGGTGGCTGTGAACCCCTGGGGTATCAATTGAAAAATGTTTATACTGTTGGGTTTACAACAGGTAGGGTAAACAGGTAAAATCATTAGCTTTGCTTTCAGTTCAGAAGAATCTGGGAATAACCAAGTTTTAGTTCAGTTAAGAAGACGTCAATATTGAGTTGAGAAACGAGTTTATTTTTTTATCCGAGAGGGAGAATTCAGGTCAGGTTCTGGGAACAAGTCACCAGCATAACAGTTTAGTTTATGAAATTTTCAAGCCAGGACAGCTTGGTTAGAGATCTAGAGATTATTAGAACTGGGAAAGTTTAAGCCCTCAGATTTGTGAAGAGCTCACAATGGCAGATTTGGAAAGGAAAGCATTCAATGAACTGTCTTCACTGCCCTGGTTTAAAAAAAACTGTCAATCATTTAAGTGCAACGTAGAAGCTGAAATGGGGGTGTCATCTCCCTGGACTGGAGTCTCTATAATGGAAAGGGCTGGGAAACAGATTAAAACTTTAAATGTGTTTTGATATAATTTTAACTGCTGTATATATTTAGATCTTTTTTTGGAAAATTCTTTTGTGCAACAAACGTCTGTCTCGTTATTAAAGAAAATTTGCAGCTTTGTGTTAATATGTCCCAATGAGTGACTATCATGATAAATAAACAAAGAAGAAAATAATCCATCAAGTCAAATTTAATTCTGGGACATGTACAGTTGTGCCATCATTTAGAATCTCGATCAATTAATTGGCCCAACCAATCTGTACCCATTTACACTTCAATACAGTCTTCTCCCATCTTTCCTCATTAAAATCTACAATCAAAACCCTAGATTTTCTTCTTTCCACATGTAACTTTCCAGCTCCCTGTTAAAAGCTGTAGTATTCCCTTCAAATATACCCTGGAATAGAAAGATGCACTATAAACAATCTTCTTAAAACATTCTCCCTATGCATCTTTCATCCAAAAAGTGCAAAAGATAGGATGATACAGCGAAGTACAAGCTGAAAAATATTTGAAAGATTTCCCACTGCTTCAGTTAGGTCTATCTAACAATCCCGTGCTTATGTACACACAAAACAAATTCCCATGATTCCGTATTTCACAAACAACACAATATATCCAAATATATGTTCCTCACCCACCTTCTTAACTGAGCTCTTTTAAGGCCACACAAAGAAAAGGCAAAGTGAACTATTCCTATAATAGAGGATAACAAAAAAAAAACACGAAAAATCCCAATGGTCAATACATCCTGTGAAGAAGTGATATCAAAAATGCTGTCACTGCTCATGCACCTATATATATATATATATATATATATATATATGTATATACATATATATATGAGAGCGAATTTCATAACTATAATATTGTGCGCTCAAATCTGATCTCAGCTCCCGCCAAATCCAGAATTTGTTTAATTCATTTGTGGTTGTGGGTGCTGCTGGTTGGTCAGCATTTATTGCCCATCCATAGTTGTCCTTGAAGAGAGTTTGTAATGATTGGTACAACTGAATGGATTGATAGTCCACTTCAGAAGGCAATTTAGAGTCAACCAAATTGCCGTGGGTATGGAGTCACACGTAAGCCAGACCAGGTAAGGACGGCAGATTTCCTTCCCTGAAGGATATTAGTGAACCAGATGGGTTTTTCCGACAATCAACAATGATTTAATGGTCATTGGTAGATTCTTAACTCCAAGCTCTTTTCATTGAGTTCAAATTTCACTAAATGCCGCGGCGGAATTCAAACCCAGGTCCCCAGAACATTAGCTGAGTTTCTGGATTAATAATCTAGCGATAATACAACTAGGCCATCACTTTCCTCTACTGCCTCTAGGCCTACTGTCTTTTGGTAGAAATTTATTTATAGGTCTGCAGGAGTCGATTCATCAAATGGAAGTTATTCAGATTGGAAGAACAACATTTAAGTCAGTAAAGAGGAATTCAGTAACATTGTCTACTAGCAAGGGCAGAAACAGATGCAGTTGCTCGGAGAATGGCAATGCCGAATCTAAAATGTAGTATTCCAAATTTTAAAAAACTCTGCTCCCCTAGATTAAAGTTGCAGTGTTACTTTTAAATGAGCAGCATGCACAGAAATAACTTATTATGTTAATCCTACAAATAACCTGCTTTCTCTATATGAAACAGGCTTGGGTAGCTCTGCTTAGCAGGTACCACACATTAGTATGATTGAGTTAAACCACAATTATTAAAGCATACATAATTAACTCAACTTGCCCAGCAGACCAAAGCAGAATCAACAGCAGAATCCAAGAAAACAGATATTTGACTCTACATTACTGTTGTGTCGCCCATCGGCGATCCCATCCTGTTATATAGCCAATGACACAAGTGCAAGTCAATGCAAAAATACTGCAGCTGCTGGAAATCAGAAACAAAAACAGGATAAATTGGAAACACGCTACAGGTCAGCCAGCATCTGTGAAAAGTTAAACTGATATAACATTTTAGGTTGATGACCTTATGTCAGCACTGAGGAAATTTTCATCAAACTGAAGCATTAGTTTTGTTAATTGTTTTTATTACAGAACTAGAAGTGTATGGTCACTTCACATAGGTTAAGACAAAAAAAAGTATGAAATACGAAGACGAGTGAAAACTGCTACAGAAAATTAATATGTCTTTCAAATCCTCTCCAGTTCCTCTGGATGTATTAAGTTGCTTCATAAACAGATCAATTATTTTGAACTCAAACCCAATGAATCATATGATCTCGTAAAGACAATTAATTTAGATTAAATATGGATTATTACACCAACTCCATGATAAAGACTCCAGCCGTAATTATTTAAGGGGTTAAAAGGACTTAACAAGACAAGAGAAATATGTTTCCAGACTGGCATTTATTTTGATAAAATTACAACTCACAAAATTGGTTCCTAATCCCCTGTGTAGAAAACTAAACGATTTTGCTTTCTTTCCTGAACATATTTTCAAAATAGGAATTAGTATGGCTAATGGAACATTACCTTTATAGCAAGAGAATTTGAGTACAGGGAGTAGAGAAGTCTTGCTTCAATTGTATTGGAGCTTGATTAGACATCACCTGGAATACTGTGTGCAGTTTGGTCTCCTTATCTCAGGAAAGATATTACTGCCATAAAAGGGAGTGCAACAAAGATTCACAAGACTTGACATCGGATGGCGGGATTGTCCTATGAAGAAAGATTGAGCAAAATGGGCCTGTATTCTCTAGAGTTTTGAAGAATGAGAGATGATCTTATTGAAACTTGCAAAATTCTTAAAGGGATTGACAAGGTATATGCATGCAAGACATTTCTCCTGGTTCGGGAGTCTCAAACCAGGGGATACAATTTAAAAATAAGGAAGTTCCATTTAGGTCCAAGATGAGGAGAATTTTGTTGTTGCGAATCTTTGGAATTCTCTCCCACAGAGGGCCATGGAAGTTCAGTCTTGAGTATGTTTAAAGTACAGACTGATAAATTTTTGATTACTAGAGGTGTACATGATTACAGGGATGAAGTTGGTAAAAGGCACTGAAGTGATCGTATTGAATGGTGGTGGACAGGCTAAATGGCTTACTCCTGTTTCGACATTGCTAAATAATTTGTTAAGGATGCAATATAGGGACATACAACTGTAAGGTTGGCATCCATCATATTTCACACACAACTTTTGTAGCCTTGCCCAATTTATATGTGAAAAGCAGAATACCTTTTCAAAATGTAGATATATGCGGAAAGTGAAAAAACAGCAAATGCTGAGATTTTGCAACAGAAAAAGTGAATGCTAGAAACAGTTTGTAGAAAGAAGAGATAAATTATTCTTTCAGGCATAGGATACTTCCAGCATAACTGCAAAATAAAAACATGAATAAATATTTTAATAAAAACAGAAATAAGTACAGTGTAAAGAATTGGTGGAAAGCCTTGCTCAAGGAAGTAAGATTATTTGATAACGCATGGTCATTACGTTCAATAAGCGAAAGAAATATGAAAGATGTTAATACAAATGGAGAAACAGAACATGTATGTAAAATAGCAAATTACTGGAAACATTTAACGAGTCAAGTATCATTGTCAAGATAAGTTAACATTTCTACTATAGATCTCCCATTGAAATGTACAATTGCAATTGAACTGAAGTATGTAAAAGAAGCAGAAGTGGAAAAATCCACATTTAGGAAAAAGAACCTATTAAGGTTTAAGATTATTATAATTTGAGACTGTGGCTTTAAAGTTGGGTAAATGTAACCTGTTCTGCAGTCTTTCTAATAGAAAACCTAGGTGGTTTAACTGTTAAAGATCAAAGTAAGGCTCAGACTGGTTTACTGAGATGTAGGATACTTACATGAGACAAAGGCAGCAATCTGAGTTTATAATATAGACTCAGTCTCCCAAAGTCCCAAAATGGCTATAAGGTATCGGGTTGTAAACTATTCTGCTACCAGCTGTCCATTTATTTCAAACATGAAGAGTACATCTAGTAGCGTTTACACCCAGCTGCAAAGTTAACAAGATTCACATTGCCAAATAGAGGACAGAGTGAGCTGCTTTTGAGATCAGGTTGTGGGCTTCCCTACAAAATCCACTAACACGTCACAAAGGCAGCAGTCCTGCATGGTCAGCAAAGAAAAAGACAGCTTGGCTTTCTGAGTTACCACAGTTTGAATGTCTCTCATCAAAGATATTGATCTGTAGAAGATCTCAGTATTTTGAGTTCTGTTTGGGCACGGTCAGGGGCAGAAGCATCAGAACAGCTTTACTGCTGGAGGTGGGTTAAAAGACTCCAAAGACTAAGCAAAATGCCTGGTGACGGCCACTTGCAGTTACTACTTGGCAAATGAGGATCTGTTTGCTTATGAGGACTGTAATTTCAAGCAGAGCACAATAGGAGATAAAGATAAAAGGGGAATGTTTCCCTTTGTACCTTAAAGTTCAAGTAGTCCAGAGAAAGAAAATAGGGCTATTATTTGTAGAGTAAAAGTCTAAAATGTGAAATCTTGTCTTGTCATTCTTTCAGCCAGTAAGTGTAAAGGTGAATTACTTTTCAAAAGCTATCAGGCTGGGCAGAAATCTTAGGAATGAGAAAATCTCAGGCATATGCAAGAAACTCCAAAAAAAGTTTTTCTACCAGAAACGGGAGATGGTTCAAGGGTTGAAAAATCAAACAATTTAAAAATAATAAGACAGACAATGTGAATCACTAAGAAAATGAAATAAAGCAGCTAGAAGTGAAAATGGCAGGAGCTGCAGCTGCCCCAAAAACCTAGGAGAAGGAAAATGACGAACATCAAGAATGCAGACAGTTCTGTGACAACAGCTTTTCACGACAATACCAACTACTAAATACAAAGAACCAATTACTTTCATCCCAATCCTCCAGAAAAATGTATAACTACCAGTATTGTTAAGTTTTGACAAAGTCAATATAGCAGCAAAGTATCTGATAGCAAAGTACGGAACTGTTCCTCAAGCTTAAATTGAGCTTCCAAAGGAATAGTGTCAAATTTCAAGAACGAAGATCATAGAACTGGATGGAGAACTGAAGGATGTTATTGATTATTTTACTTTTGCCCAGTCCAAAAGGACTGCTTCTGTATTCCAAATTCTAATCAGTTTAAAATCTTCCAGTCTGGCAAAGGATCTGAAATACTAACCATTCCTTATCTCCACAGATGCTGACACCTGTACTGTTTCTAATACTTTTTTCTTTTATAACCAGCAGGTACAGGTTTTTTCTTTGCTTTTAAGTGTTTGGTTACTGCTGATTCATCCATTCTATGTTTTTCCATTGCCTTTAGCTCTATCTTCAATTGTCTGGTGAAAAAGATCAACTTAGAATCAAATCTCTGATTCCAACTATATGCTATTCCATTAGTTCTTAATCTCCTTTCATCCCTTTCTTTGATTATCATTATCTTTCATTTCTACAGATCTGATGAAACCCTATATACCCAAAACACTAAACTGCCTGATCACACCACAACAACTGAATGACTTGCTATCAATTCAACGTTATCTGTTTTGGCACAATTTTCTACTTACCCCTTAGACTGACCACCTTTTGCAACTTCATAAAATTTCATATCATCAACACTAGATATTCCAGCAGAATGAATCGCAGCTAGTAAGTCATCACCAGTAGTCCACTGAAAGAAATAGACAGCAATTAGAACAAATAGAATATAGCAGCTTGTTCACTGTTATGCAGACTTGCTCTCTATTCTGTAATATACATGCCCAACTGTTAATTTGTTTAAATATACCTACTTTAAATGTCAAAGATTAGACCTATCAATGATCCTCTTTTCATTATTATTGAAAGCTATATACATTCTACTTCTTAACACAATCGAACAGACTAAAGCAAGCACAAAAAAAATCAAATCTGCATAAAAAGAATGAAATGCACAGTTTCCTATTGTGCCACGCTTGCCATTCTGCCAAGGGCACATCAAGCTCTCATTTGCTATTGCCCTATAATAAGCAGTTTCATTTTCCTCTCACTGTTCTCCCTGCAGAGAATATATGCTTGGGGTTCATCAATTACCATTCCCAGTCTTGATTATTCCATCTATTATTGCCATCTTAAACAATGCCAAAGAATTAATCATCCTTTGCATTTCCCTCAACGTTTGCAAACAAGACTTGTCATTAATGACCTTATCACAGCATAGCTTTGGATGAAACTTGGCTGAGAGATAAAAATACCTTACTCCTTTATGAAGCCATCTCACCTGGCTATGCTTTCTACAAACTCTCCTGCAAAAATCATCACAATGAAATTGCAGCCCTAACCATTCAGCTTTTCCTCCTTACACCTCTGGTATTTAATTCGCTTGAAGCATCTCGATGTCCATCAGTCATTTCTCTTCAAATTTCCTCAATGATTCTATCACAACTCTTGTTTCCTTCTCTTCTGAAATAGCTCTCATTACCCTTCTCCCACCATGCCCTTGCTTCTGCTTCTCCGGAAAAATAAAATTGCCTTTCCCAAAGTACTTAGAAAGTATGATTTTAACTCCCAACTGCAGATTCTTTGCCCATCCATTCCCACAATACTTCTCTGCACTGATCCAAACAAGCAACCTTTGCATCAGATATTTGACATCCTCCCCCATCCTGGTCCATGCCATTCTAGATAGTCAACTTCATTCCCTGAAGATAATTGAAAGTGGCAGGACGGATGGAGTGAGCAGTTAATAAGGCATAGTGTCCTTGTCTTTATTAATAGGGACCAAGTACAGAAGCAAGGAGCTGATATTGAATTGTATAAACCACTTGTTAGACATCAGCTGGAGGACTGCATACAATTGTGGAAGCCACATTATAGCAAAGATGTGAATGCATTGGAGAGTGCAGAAGCACTTTACAAGAATAGTTCCAGGAATGAGAAACTTCAATTGTCAGGAAAAATTGAAGAAGTTGGGATTGTTCTCCTTATAGAGGAGGCAGCTCAGTAAACATTTGAAACAGGATACAAAATCATGAGCCACTGGATACAGTAGACAGGGAGAAGCCATTCCAGCTTATAAAATAGAACAAGAATGAAAGGGCATATATTTAACATTATGTGCAAACATAGGAAATGTGATATGAGAAAGAAAACTCACACGGCAAGTTGTAAGCATATGGAATGCACTGCCAGATTTGCGACGGAGGCAGGATCAATTGAGGAATTCAAGAGGGCATTTGATGAATGTTTGGATAGAAATAGTGTGCAAGGGCATGGGGAGAAGGCAGGGGATAGGCACTAAGTAATGCTAAGCATTTGAAGAAACAATGGTAAGTGGCCTCCTTTGGAGCCATAACAATTGTGTGATATTGAAATGATCCTTAATGAAGCAATTTTTATTCACTAACTTTTCCATTTGATCTTTCATTTGTTACTTCTCTTGAAATCTGTCTTTGCAATATACTATATCCAACAAAGACAATACAACCTTGACTTTATAACTAGAAGTCTCAATACTTAGTAATACACTGTGGCAGACATATATACAGGACATTTTAGTTACTCACAATTCACTTTCTTACAACAGAAATAGTTGACCAGTTAAGTGCCTGCAATACCTACAAGTTTCCTGTCATCAGTTAATCTGACACTATGAAACCACTGCTGTGTAGTCACATCATAGGGACAAAAAGTAATGCTCACCCACGTCAGATTTCCAATCAACATAAGTTTTTTATGAAGTGGTGCATCAATATATTCTGAATCACAACTTTTAGAAGGGTCAGCTTTAATTGGGACGAGTATATTATTTGATGTGCACTCCAAATTGTCCTTTTTAGGTTCTACCTCATTGTTTAAAGGCACTCCTATTATATCACCAATCAAATCATCATATAAATCCATCTGGACCCGATTTTCATTTTCCAGCTGCTGAGAAAGAAAGAGAACAATGGTAAGCACTTGTCACTAAATACCTCAATGAATAGGATAGTAGAATATGCCGATATTTAGAATGTTCTGTAATAAAAGGACCTCTATTGCTTTACTAGTGCTGCTGCTCTTTTTATAAGAGTACTAGTCTTTACTAATGTTTCAAATCAGTTTGTAACAGTGACAGTGTGGAAAAAAGACAAGTATTTACTTAAATATTATGTTGTAATATCCTTCCAACACACATCTGTATATCTCAGGATCATTACTGGGTGTCCTAGAATATGCCTTAAATGGATCAATAAATTAAGACAAAATTCTTTCTTCAAAGTTAATTATGTTCCTTAAGTACAAACAAATCAAAATATATCATACCTAGTATCCTAATATTGAAAAATGCAGGCCTCTTTGCAACAGCATCACAACATAAGGAATGTTAAACATCTGTGGCTGCATTTGACAATTCTACTTTAACTTGATTTATTGTACACAATGATATTTTAAAATGAACAATTTTTTCAAAGTCTCATCTAAAAATAAGCAATGAGCATGAAGAAAAATTGGGTTCCTCTGCGCACGTTTCCATTCCAAATTCACTTTGCAGATAAATAAAACAAAGCACTGCAGAGACTGGAGATCTGAAACAAAAACAGAAATTGCTGGTGAAACTCAGCAGGACTCAAAATGTTAATACTGCTTTCTTCGCCCAGATGCTGCCAGGCCTACAGAGTTTTGCCAGCAAATTCTTTTTCCTTTCACTTTGTCCAATGTGAATTTTTAATGTTGATTACCAAAGTTCATCTGCATGATCAGAGATATATAAAGACAAAAGATTAACTATTTCCACCACCACTAGATTCAGGTTTTTGTTTAAGAATGACTGTCTTTTTTAAAAAATACTCAGTGATTGGATTCCTCAATTACGACTACATCTGTGGCATTTATTGCTTCAAAATATTTTGATCAAGCAAGTTAAATATACATACCACAAATCATCTAAATACATAAAAGGTAAAACTGCCACCATCCCACCAAACCATAGGGCTGCTCTCTCATTACGGAGACAACTGATCGTGGTTTAAAGTGGGTCAGCATGTCTTAGGTGAGGGGAGAGGTTGAGAAGGAGAGTCCTTCATTGTAATCTCAACCAATGCAGGAATGGAACCATGCTGTTGCATCACTCTGCATCACAAACCAGCCGTCAGGGCAAGGAGTGCGATGTTGCATTTTGCTAAGGCAAATCAGGGCAGGACTTATACACTTTATGTTAGGGTCCTGGGGAATGTGGCCAAACAAAGAGACCTTGGGATGCAGGTTCATCGTTCCTTGAAGGTGAAGTCACAGGTAGACAGGGTAGTGAAGGCAGCTTTTGGTAATTAGACACTCTATTGAGTATAAGAGTTGGCAGGTCATGTTGCAGCTGTACACGACATTGGTTAGGCCACTTTTGGAATACTGCATTCAATTCTGGTCTCCCTGCTATCAGAAAGATGTTGTTAAACTTGCAAGGGTCCAGAAACGATTTACAATAATGTTGCTAGAGTTGGAGGGTTTGAGGGAGAGTCTGAATAGGCTGGGGCTATTTTCTATGGAGCATTAGAGGTTGACGAATGACCTTATGGAGGTTTATAAAATCATGGGGGTCATGGATAAGGTGAATAGCCAAGGTCTTTTTCGCAGGCTGGGAGAGTCCAAAACTAGACGGCATAAATTTATGGTGAGAAGGAAAGATTTAAAAGGGACTTAAGGGGTAACATTTTCATGCAGAGTGTGATGCATGTATGGAATGAGCTGCCAGAGGAAGTGATGGAGGCAGGTACAATTACAACATTTAAAAGGCATCTGGGTGGGTATCTAAATGGCAAGTGTTGAGAGGGAAATGGGCCAAATGATGGCAAATGAGAAGAGATTAATTTAGGATATCTGGTCGGCACAGACAAGTTTACCGAACGGTCTGTTTCCGCGCTGTACAACTCTATGATTCTAAGGCTGAGCTGCTTTAGAATACATGACTTAAATTCACTGAATCAGAAATATTATGATGCAGGAGGAAGCAACTCAGCTAATCACGTCTGTACCAGCTCACTGAGCGCTTTAAATTAGTGCCAATTTCCTAACTTTTCTTGCACCTTGCCAGTGACACATAATTTAAGTGCTAAATTCCTGTATTTATATATTGAAAATGAAATGAATTAACACATTTACAACTAAATTAAATCATTTCTAAATTACATCAGCTAATTAGAAAGGGTTTGAAACCATGCTTCAGAGATCAGTCCACACTTTCAAAGTTTAATGTAGGCAACTGTGTGGATCATCCTCCCAAGTACTTTTTCATTATTTGGGATTTCCTAACACTATCAAAGTAATATTTAAATTGTGAAATCATTTGGCTTATGGCAAATGACCACCACCTGATTAGATTAGTACAAATTATGTTCAGCATTAAGCCTGCAACACAGTTATAAATCTAGTTTCACTGTGAACTCATTTGCTTTTGATGGTAATGTTGACAACTACTCTTGCGGTGTAGTAGTTGCAGTGTCTCTACCTCTGGGCCCAGATTCAACGTCCCATCTGCTTTAAAGGTGTGCCATAACATCTCTACATAGAATGTATCTATAGTTGTCAATAACCCTATCTCTGGGCCACAAGGGCCAGGTTCAAGTCCCACCTCAGAATGTGATGGCCACAACGGTGTGTCATAACGGGCCCAAAAAGGTTGACCAGAAGAAAAATGGCAGAGGTAATGCATTACAGCCATTATTCTGGGATGAGAGGCATAACCCATCCAACCCCATCAAGCATACGCTGGGGTTACTTACTCGTGTGCGTTTTAACTTGCCAACTGATACAAAGACAAATTTTATGTGAATAAATGGAGGTGAAGTGCGATGAATTCAACAGGTTGTAATAATCCTTGTTTTTATTTGTAAGAAGGAGGCTGAGGGTGAATACTACTGTGGAGATGGGGCGAGGATTCCTCTCTTTGTAACTAGTTCTTGTTCCCCCCCACGGCTGCCATTTCATCTCGGAAATGTGCAACACCCGGGCGATCCCAGTAAACATTTCCGCCGCCTGAAGAACATTTAGCCGCGATTTGAGAGGGGGGGCTGTGGGGGAAACCGCTGGCCTGGCTCGGCCTCGGCGGCTTGACACCGGACCCGGGGCACTCCTGGCACCGACTGGCCGCTCCGCTCTGAGGAACGATCCGATCTCTCTCTCTCTCTCTTTCTCTTTCTCCCTTCCCTCTCCCAAAAAAAAGTCAAACACCCAGCCACCAGGACGATACCTGCTCCTGCGCTGGGCTTTCGCCCTCCGCTTTATTTGTATCCGACAGTTGAAGGAGCGACGGGCCGCTCGTGTTCGAGTGCACCGCCATTTTGAGATGGGCCGTGGGGCTGTGCGGGCCCTGCACCGCCCTGACGTAACTGCACGCGCTGAGAGGCTCTCTCCCCGCCCCCCCCCACTACCCCTGGGGGGAAACTGAGGTCTGGCCTAGTGCTTTGTTGTTTACATTGTGGGTGGCCGTGGGGTGACCTGGAACAGGAGTGCTGCTCTCTTTGCAGGTGTGGGTCCGCCTTGTGGGTGCTGTCCTTGTGAGGGGTCCTACTTGTGGGGTTGTGGGTGATTTCCTTGGGGGGATGTTGGTGCTACCTTTGCAGGTATGGGACCTCTTTTTGGGGTTGTGGATCCTCCTTGTGGGTGTGGTGGTTTGTAGATGCTCACATTATGGGAAGACAGTGTGGGTGCTTTTTGTAGTGTAGATTCTCTAATTGGGTTTGGGGATGGTGGGGTGCTGGGACGGGCGCTTTTGCAGGTGTGGGCCCTTCATGTGAGGATGTGGGTTTGTGGATTCACCTAGAGGGTGATAGGGGAGTTGGGTGTAGACCCTCTCCATGTGGGGTTGTGGGTGTCCTTGTGGGGGTTCTCTTTGCTGGTGTGGGTCTTCCATGTGGAGTTGTGAGTGCTCTCTTTTTAGGTCTGGGTTCCCCTTGTTGGGGGACTGTGGATGCTCCCTAGGTGCAGGTTTTCCCATGGGGTTTGTGGGCTCTCTTTGCAGGTGTGGATCCTCGTTGTGGGGTTGTGGATCCTCATGTGGGTGTAGGCCCTCTCTTTGTAGGCATGGATTCTTGTTGGGGTGTTGCCATTCTCCTTGTGGTGTTTGGGCTGTTTTCTTGCAGGTGTGGGTTTTCCTCCGAGGATTGTGAGAGCTATCCCTGTGAGGTGTTGGGTGGTGTCTTTGTATGTTATTGTCCCCCTTCTTTGGGAGGGCAGGAGGTGGGGAGTTGGGCTCACTTTGCAGGTGTGTGTCCCCCTTGCGTGGCTGTAGATTCTCCTCATGAGAATGGGGGCAGTCTGGGAGATGGGCTATCTTTATAGGTGTGAGTTCCCCTGCTGGGGAAGTGGGTGTTCTCCTCGTGCACTTCACTGTTCCAAGTGGCTGCATTCCTGTGTCCTCCTCACCAAGTAGCTCCAGGAGTCTGAAACAACTCCTGATTTCACCCACTTCAAGAGGCAGCAATCATCTTCGTCACTTTGAAAATCTCAATCAAATTGGTGAGACAAGACCTCTCCCACACTAAGTCAAGCTGTTCTATCCTTAATAATTCCATTCTTTTCTAATTGCAAGTAAATCCCGTCCCTAAGATTCTTCTCCAATAATTTCCCTACCACTGATATGAGCATTTGCCTAGAGCTCTGGATTACGAACGTTGTGAAATTGCCATTGTATCGTTGAATATAATGACTAATCACAATGTTTACATAATCGGTTGAGATATAAAGGAGACTCTAAAACAGACATTTTTGTTCTGATGTGATGAAAACTATACGCTATGCTGATTTGGAGTTAAACTGTTACAGTTAGGCTGAATTTTACCGTTTTTAGGCGGTGTTATTTTTGGGGCATTTCATAGGGTGATGGGGCTATCGTTCCGAGGAAGGGTCACCAGACCCAAAACGTAAACTCTGATTTTTTCTTCACAGATGCTGCCAGACATGCTGAGCTTTTCCAGCAACTTTGTTTTTGTTCCTGGTTTACAGCATCTGCAGTTCTTTCGGTCTTTATCATCAGAAAGGACATGTCTTTGAAAGGAAAGCTGGCTTCGCTTACAAAGTGAAGCAAGAGTTCCAAAGAAGGCTCCTATTTGTCTTGAAATATTAACTCTGTTTCTCTGTTTAGAGATGCTGCCATAACTGCTGAGTTTCTTCAGGATTTATGTTTGTAAAGACACAGACCAATAGGTTATCTTGTAATTTGTTAAAAGCATGCAGTATTTATAATACTTAATACCCGATTCAAGTAAAAACATTATGTCTCACACACACATATGCATTGAAGGATTTGCACACGGACAAGTAAATCACAAAATGGAAGGACAAGTAAAGTAGTGTTTAAAATTCAGTAGTATATGATGTTTGTAGATTGATAATTTAGATGATTTCAAACAGGGCATGATGGTCTGGATTGTGTATCAAAATGATTTGAAGATATTGAATGACAATTTATGTTTTCTTTTCTGGAGACATCTGTCGCTGGATTGATTCTTAAAAACATTGCCTGCTACATGGGGATGACAAACAACAGGCAGGGCTCAAACTTGCAAGATAGAAAGAAAGTGCCCACTCAGGGATATGGTTCTTATGCATTTCTTTTACTTCTGTCCTGCGGCCTGAAGAAAAGCAATTTCTCAAAACACAATAGAGAGTTGTTTAGTTCATAAGATGATCCTCTCTCCAACTTAACATATGCATTATTGTAAGTCAACTCCACGTCCATAGTTTAGATGTGATGAATTTATTTCTGAAATACTTCTGAGTCAGTGTCCATTTCCAAAACGATTGTGTAGTAGTTTGTTCTATAACCACTTAAATACAAAGATAATTGGAGGTTCTGTGAATGGTTCAGGAAATTAGCCAGTTCACATTTCTCAGGTGATTGCCACTGATAGATTCTTCTCTATAAGATTCCTGAAATCAGTGTTGAATTTAGAAGACTAGAATCCCAAGCCAACAGATCGGGTCCTGTTCCTCAAACTTGTGTTGAACTTTATTGGAACACCATAGAATGGCAAGGACAGAGAGGTGGAGTAGGTGCAAGGTTGAAAATTGAAATGATAAGCTTAAGGTCACAGGCGCAAACTAACTGTTGTGTTCCACAAAGTAGTCTCACCAATGTGGAGGAGACCGCATCATGAGTAGCATTATGTTTTTGAAAAAACATCAATCTGAAACATTACGTGTTTCTTCACAGATGCTGCTTGGCCTACTGACCATTTCCAGCATCTTGGGTATTTTGGTATTGTGTCCAGGTTCTTTCCTCTCTTCTGGGCTTCTTAGACTGAGTGGCATGTCAAGGCAACTAATCACATCATTGCCTGGGTCCTTTTAACACAAATTTCCAGGCTTAAAAGGCTGCAGTGAGATTAATTGATATAACAGCATAAATTCAGAAATGTCATAATGCAAAATTAGGTTTACAGAAAAATCTCATAATAAGATGGTAATTTTCTTCAATTTTATCAAAGCTAATTGTGCAGCAATGCATGGAAAATCAACTTGCATGGAGTTTCTTTTCCTCATTTCAAAACACTGGGTTTTTTATGCACTATTAATGGCAAGTACATTGAAATTATTTTTGGTTGCCCGTCAAAGGCAGTTCTAAAGTTAATTTGACCACGACATCTTTAAAACAATTAGAGTTTGCAGTTGCAGTTTTCAGAACAACATTTGGAGCACACATTTTAAGTCTAAATAAGGGAATGATGAAGTATATTTCCTATGTTCAACTCTTTTAGGCATTTAGTTCCTGAGCTGTAAATCCATGATATTACAATACATCAGCTGATAAATTATTATAAGGAAACTGAGCAAAAGATGCCGCTCTTTTCATTAATAATCTTCCCATTGGCCAGTCCAGAAACAACTTGTAATGTAATGAAATGTGCCTTTAAGAGATTTTTTTCTGTCCTGTTCCTCTTGAAGAGGTGTGTTCTAAACCTGGTGTTGAGGTGTCTGCTCCATGGAAAACAGATTAAATAGCTTTGGGACAACAAGGTGCAGGGCTGGATGAACACAGCAGGCCAAGCAGCATCATAGGAGCAGAGAGGCTGACGTTTCGGGCCTAGACCCTTCATCAGAAAATAGCTTTGGTTTATTTTTAATTGGACAAAAGAGGCAGAGTGGGTGGAGTCAAGCTCACAGACCCACGGTTTTGTTTTGCTTTGCTTTCAGTTGAAGTTGGGGTTTTAGAGTTGAAGCTGTAGGTGCAGCTCTTTTTCTGTTGCTAAATTCATTCTTTTGGTTTTTCCTTTCTCCTGGACTGGAGATAGCACATGCGTGAATCTGTTTTGCTGAATTTGCTTTTGCCAAGTATGGGTTATGGGATGCTGCTGAATTGGAACAGTTGATGAGAAGTAGTTAAATAATATATTATTTTGTTAAGTATTTCGATAGAATTAAAGTTTTGCCAGTTCTTCTTTTGTTTGTATTTTAACAGTGGTTAAGAATAATGTTTTGCTTAAAGCTTAGTAGTTTGACCAATTCAATCACATCTGGAATGCAGCACCTTACAGTTGCCTTTAAATAAGATAAAAGTTAGGGTCTCGACTATCTCCTTGATATATTTTGAGGGGGTTTCATCTGGTCCATAACAGTAACTAAAGATTTTGTTTGATTCTGGAAGTATATTTTATTTAATGTCTCCCTTTCCAAATACCTCTCCTGTTTACACTTATTTCCACTTCTTTGACTTCATCATTCCCCATTGCCTCTCTGAAGATCTTTATCACTAATGAGCTATCTCCAAGCATTTCCTTACATTCTTCACCAACCTACTGTAATTCTTCTAGAGCTTTATTTTTCACAGATTAGGACCACATTTAGTGTTCATCCTAACGTCCCTTAAGGAGGCAATGTTGAGCTGCCTTTTTAAATTTGTTGTGGGTAAATCGCCATGTTACCTTTAATTCAGCTCCTTATTGAGAAATCTCACAGCCAATTAAGTATTGAAACAATGATTTAAACTTTATGGCATGTAGCAACCAAAATAAGACCCCTCAATTAAGCCTCACAATTCAGCTTGGCTATTATGTGATAAATGGTGGAATTTAGCCATAAATCCAACCAACTGTGTCTCTAATGTCCAGAGTTTGATCTTTGTGCAGTGTTGTTCTTCAAAGTTCCGCTGCTGAAGAGTTCTTGTGTTGGATTCTTACATAATCTTTTTTTGTTACTCAGGTCGATGGGATGACATTATTAATGATCTTTTAGATTTTTTCATTCAAAATATTGATTACTCTTCTTGAACCATTGAGTCTGCAGCTTGCTTCCTTATCAGAAAAAGCTTCTTTGTCCTTGTTACATTTGGCATCACTGTCTGTTTGACAACAC